CACACACACACACACACACACACACACACACACACACACACACACACACACACACACAGTTTTTTAGGCACTCCCCGAGCTGATGATTTTCCTCCTTTTTTTGCCTTCTTGATGTGGTCCGATGGACCATGGACCAGATATTAAACTGATCAGACCAGATACTACACTTGATTGGCTGACATTTTCAGCCTGTGGGTGACAGACGGGCAGTACCTCGCCGCACAACCAGTGCGTGATAGTACGTTCAGAACTCGGTCTGTTTTTTCCGTCTGCAGAAAAGGGTTACGAACATACACTGGCAGTGGTCTGACAGTCAGACAGCCTTGTACCTGGGAAAGTCAGACACGGAGGATTGGCTAAGTACTACGTAGTCTCTCTGGCACTACAGAAGGTACATGGACAACTTTTGTGGATAAATTAGGAATGAACAAGTAATATGTGGTACGGCGTACCCACTGAACCAAGCATCTGCACTGGGACTGTCACAGAGGAAGCGGAATTCGCAGATTTTTGGGCTGCTACATTTGAGGTGAGCTTGAGTTGGACTGCCATTACAGCTGATGGTGGCAAGAGTCCTGTATAACCAACTGAACAGCTAGAGGTTAAACTTCAGTTTTTCCATGAGCTAGTGGCCAAAGGGACCGGAGTCGGGTCCGTATTCCGTATACCTTCATGATGACAGGGGCGTTATGTTCAGGGGAAGAAGGGTACCTTCTTAACCCGGATACAATGTACGGTCATTAGGGCTGTATCTAGAGTCAAAGTTGCCCCAAATACAGCTATTATATAATGACCGTACATTGTATTAGGGCGAAGAAAGAAGGTAGCCTTGCCAGGTTTGCCAGTGGAAAGGGCGCCGGCCTTGAGATATTCATTGACCAGACCAGCCCCGTGTAATTCAGAATTATTTTATTCTGTTCATCTGATTGTATCTGGACTCAAACTTGGGTCTGTACATCAACTGCTCATGGGTTTACCAACTGAGCTATGCCGATCAGAGTACATGCCATCTGCTCCTCCTTTAAGTTATTGATACATTGCGGAGAAAAAAACAGCCTGCGGCCACTGCTAACAGTGTGCATTTGAGTGCCACTGCTGGGTCATCAACGTTGCACCATATGCCATTGCCATGCAATGGTCTTGCAGTTTCCCGGCGGGCTGTAGGACTAACTAGGACAATTTTGCAATTTTTCAGACTTCTGGGTCCTGACAGGTAACTCAAACAGGACTTTTCTGCAAATTCCCTAAATTACTACAAAAATGGGGACCACTGGTCCTCAAGGACCTCAACCGCATTTCACGCCTCAACAGACTGTTGCTTTGCTTTTGCCTCAGATTGGTACCATTGTTTATTAAAAGACAGACCCAAAGGGCCAAATTTGGAAACTGTTACTAGTTGGTTTACCTTTGCCTGAGAGCGGTACCATTGTTACTGGAGAACACCGACCCATAACTGTTACTTGCTGTTAGGTCCTAGGCAGTCTGGTCCGGCAGGTTAGTGCAGAAGTATAATAAATAAAAAGTAGGTCAGAAGTGTTAGCTCTCTCTTTGGTGGAGCAGTTGTTTCGTGCTCTTGTTGACGCCGCCAGGCTGCTGGAGCAGCGCTGTAGCTGAGAACCCGCTGCTAGGGTTTCGGGCAGCAGTGAAGCAGGCGCTTTATCTGCTGAGCCTGGCAATGTCATATCTGTCCTGAAAGGTTAGGCACTGCCATATCTTCTTCTTTGTGGCCGCAGCTGTTTTCTTCTTCTTCTTTCTTCTTCTTTCTTCTTCTTCTTCTTCTTCTTCTTCTTCTTCTTCTTCTTCAAGCTGGAAAGTCCAGCTTCATCCCGGTGCTGGCGCTAGTACTAGTTCTGGGAGGGCTCTGTCACAGCATTTGAGCATCTGAGTGAGGTCTGAACGGTGTTGATGACGGCTGCTG